TGCTAGGGTAATTCGGACCAAACTGATAGTACAAGACACCATCCAATAGCCGATTTTTCGACCAGAGTGACCACAAGCAGTGCGCACCCCAGCCAGATCCGGCCATTTCTGCTTTTGTAGGTTTCATATCCCCGTCTTAGGCGCGCATAAATCAACTTGGTCTCTGGGTCTGTACTGTGAGCTGATGCCCACTCTGTTGAATCCGAATGGTTAAGAGACACAACGGCAATGTTCGAGGTTGAACACGACTGACAATCCCCATGTGCCCTAGACTGCCGGCGAAACAGGGCGTCTGCATTTATGTGTTGTTTCCCAGGGCCATGTTGACATTCAAAGTCGAAGGCTTGCAGATGTGCTTGCCAACGCGCAACTTGCCCTTCGGGTTCGCGAAACCCACGCAACCACCGGAGCGCCTGATGATCAGTACGGACTATAAAGTGTCGACCCAACAAGAAATGTCGAAGATGTTTAACGATGGAGACCAGGATAAGCATTTCCTTCTTAGTAGTGCAATAGTCTCGCTCCGTTCTTGTCAACTTGCGGCTAGCGTAAGCGACAAGCCATTCCATACCATCCACAGCGACCTGTGATAGCGCAGCTCCGATACCAACTGTACTAGCATCAGTGTCCAAAATGAATGGGCCTGATTACGGTGACGCATCCGGGAAGACAAGGACCGGAGCGCTGGACAAAGCATGACGTAACTCATCGAAATATTCCTGACACTGCGGGCTCCAGTGGAAAGGCCGACCCATCTCCGTGAGTTGGTGCAAGGGTGCTGCCATATCCGCATAGTTCTTCACGAAGCGGCTGCAGTAAGAAGTCGGACCCAGAGAGCTCCGAACCTCTTTCACGGACTCGGGCGTTGGCCAACCTAAGATATCCTGTACTTTCGTAGGGTCGCTCCGGATCACAAAACCGCTGATCGCTCGACCTAGCTATTTAATCACTCTTTTCAGCAGGTCGCAATTAGACAGCTTCAACTTCACTCATGCGGAGCTAAGGCACCCCAGCACTGTTTCTAGCTTCGTGAGATGTTCATCGGGAGTACATCTATGAACTAGGATCTCATCTAGGTATACAAGATATTTGCTCGGCTGCAGCTATCTGAGTACAATGTGGATCGATAGCTGGAAAGACGCTGGTGCATTAGCCAAATCAAACGGCATGGTCTGCAACTTATATAGCCCTGTGGGTATAACGAAGGCGGTTTTTAAACGTCCATAGGGTTTACTTCGACTTGCTAATAGCCTGAGGCGAGATCCAAAGTAGAACCTAGTGGGGCCATGCAACGATTCCAGCGTGCAATCAATCCGAGTTAGCGGGAAAGAATCTTTTCGTGTAATATCATTACGTTTCCTATAGTCCACTCAGGTGCGTGGTGTTCCAGATATCATTTTGACTACTACAATAGGGGCAGCACAGGGGGTTGCGAAGGAAGCATGATATTATCTTTTAAAATCTGATGCACCAATTTCTGTAATGCCTGTCTATACACGGGTGGGACACGTTTGGGCCCTTGCCGTATTGGTGGAGCCTCGCCCCTTTGCAATCCGATGCTTAAGTACGCTCGTTCTACCCAAATATCTTCCTTACAACGCGAACGCGTGTTTGTGTGAACGCAATAGATTCTCCAGATGCTTCCGAGCTTCACCGTCGACTGTAGGGCTAACAGACGAAAGCAATTCCGATATCTCACCTTCCACATCCACGGTGCTAGCACCCAAAGTAAAAAGCTTTTTCACGAAGCCATTATTACGTTTGAAGTTTAGAGGGCGCAGATTGCCACGTAATGTCAAAACTCCGGAGATTAGATGGATGACGCAGGCCTACCGACTTCAGAAGTCAACCCCCAGTATCTCGTCCCATGGAATTTGATGAGTCAAGTAAAACTCATGAGAACGAAGCGCTTGACCGAACAGAAAATTTACGGAAGCAACACCACGAGTACGCAGAACCATCGCATATGCCACTCTGGTCTGAAGCCCGGGATCAGTGATTACTGTGGAGGACAAGAAACAGGATTTTAAAAGGCTACACGCTGCACCGCTGTCAATGAGGGCATACAATCGCCGAGTATTTAAAACTAAAGCTGGAGTTGGGGATTCACCGAACTTAGAAGACACCAAAGCTACACAAAAAATGTCTGACTCACCGTACTTGAAGAGCACTCCCGGTGATTGTTCGCGCCTTCGGAATTGCAAGTGCGTCATACGGACTTCTCATAGGGTGAAATCTGGCACCTGGGGCAATGACGACAACAAGCATGTGAGCTTAGGCCGTGGGGCGGCTCAGTCCGGTTCAACGTCGGTGGCACACAACTAATAACTATCAGCTTGGCAACATCCTTCGGACGCCTAACGCGGATCACATATTCTTCGCTTGAAAGCCGTGCCGCAGTCGCTAAGTCTCTCGGCGGCCCTCGTATAAAACGCTACGTAGTGCGATCGTCGTTGATGCCTTAGGTAAACTGCCCTAAAATAAAGGCCTCATTTTCTGTTACTGATTTCCCTGGAAAAGCCTTGGCCGATAACACCCGAAGGTCCCACTGAAATGCATCAGCCGACTCTGCCACTTGACGAAACCTATTACGAAATATGGATCGCGTAGCTGACCCATGCTCTTTGTCTGGAAAAGTGCCTCTAATTGATTCCAGATTTCTCTGACAGAGGCATCCGGGCAAATATCAGTCGACAACAGAATCTCTTAAACTCGGTCACTGAGTGAATTCATTATGACCGAGGACTTGTGTTCTGTGGGGACGCAAGCAAGAGACATTTCTATGCGACGCCGCCAGTTGCATAGGTTATTGTCAACAACAAAAACAGGTGGAGGACGGAGGGACAATTGCCAAAGGCTCAGTTCTAAAGGTGGCTGTCCACAAGTTGATAGAGGTGCAGCAGAAAAACCGTGTTCCTCATTCTTCGGTTTATTTGCGTGGGATGCCATGACTAGATCCCAACACTGTCACCAGTTATGCAGTGTGCAATAATCCAGGGGCACGAACATTTGTACACGGCTAAAAAACGCAGGGAGGGAATGATAACGACGGCAGTACGCATTACAGTAGTCACAGCACACGAATAAAGTCAGGGCAAAACATAACGTGCACAGAGCAGCGTGCAATTGAGTCCAAAATTCAGGCAATTCCAATAACAAGGGGTTAACTGTACACAAACTGTAATAGGTAGTACAACAATAATAATAACTTTAGTTCTTTAAAGTCATTGTCATCTGATAAACAGTCCAAATTCCTTGATTGATTGACAGAAAGCTGATCTGAAAGAAAAAAGTAGAGAAGGTCAAAAAGCGCTGGATAATTGGCACTACATTTGCAACTTTCCTTGTTCTATTTTGCCGCAAGTAAGTGATTGTATTAACATGACCCAACTAATAATCGCGTACTGTTTAGGTATTCCTTATCAGCAATATTAATTAGCCTCTTTGCTTTACAGTAATATGGATTGACGGGCTAGTACAAAATTGCAAGCCGTATGGTGAACTTTGAGATCATTTTCTGAGGTCGTCTATAGAGGCGGTCGCTTGACGGTGGGCTTTCACCACTCGGGAGAGTAGGACGCACAAGTTGGCAGATGCAAGCTTGGTTAATTACGCTAGCGGTACAACTGGGCCATAAACAACCACTAGAACAGCTGAACTTATGTATACAACTAAAGATATGATTAAACGAAATAAATGGATGCTAACAAGCATGCGGATTGCATTGTGTATAGCGGAATTGTTGAGTAAAATTAAGTTATTTTCAAATGAAAGTTAAGCCATGTATGGCTATGAAACTGATAATATGAAAACATAATCATAACTCACTTCCTTTAAATCCGCGTGGATAATATACAATCTTTCCTCGCCTGGCTGCTCCTACTCCGGCTAATTTAAGCAGCCAATCCAGCCACATTTGTCCCTTCTGCGGGATGTGAGTATCCCGGCCTGTATGCCTCTGCGATGGATTTAGGCTTCGTACGGCCGCCGGATGCTCCTGTGTTCACCCCGTCAGCTACAGAGTTTGCTGACCCACTATTGTATATCAGAAAGATCGCACCCTTAGCCTCTGCTTATGGAGTCTGTAAGATTCGGCCGCCGCAAGTATGCTTTTAACATTTGATTCTTATCTTGCAAGGATTGGTGCCCACCTTTTTGTGCGGAAGCCTCTTCATTCATGTTTGCGCCGAGACTACAGCATTTGTCGGATTTATCGGCGTACAACAGAATCCGTAACAGTTTTATTACTTCTGTTATTAACTACTGGGAAGCTCAGGTACCGTTCAACCTCGTCCCTTACTTGTAGGAGATCAAACTTTTCACTCCCTATATCAAGGGAAAAGTTCTTGATCTTTTCCGGTTATGGAAAGTCGTGCAGCTTCACGGTGGCTACGACGCAGTCTGCGAAAAGAAGTTATGGTCTGCGGTCAGTCAGCATGTCGGCTTCACTGCCTTCTCTCAGTACGCAGCTATCGTTTGTGCGAAGTACAAGAAAATATTATTGCCCTACGAGCGCTTTATAGAATCACAGAAAGTGCTTCATGTATGTTGTACATGTTTAGTTATTTTTCAGAGTAAAGCAGAATACGGTAACAACGTGAAACGTCAGCCCATCACTCCTCAAAAGCGAAAGCTTATTGTAAGTGCCAGAATGACTCATTCTAAATTCGACAGGCAAAAAAGCTTTTATGTTCGATCTGTGGACTGGGTGACAATGAGGAGTGCCTGGTGCTGTGTGACGGCTGTGGGGCCCTTGGTTCTTCCCATACATATTGCCTACGGCCTCCTCTTTCAGATGTTCCGAAGGGTAGTTGGTTCTGCAATAGTTGTGTTACAAAAAGGTACAGAAAATTGCAGAACCACGAGACGTTTGGGTTCAAGCAGGCAAAAAAGAGACGCTCCCTAATTCATTTCGGGGACTTTGCCGATGAATTTAAGACCAAGCACTTTGGAAAACCTGCCCATGTAAGTTACATAGTCCTTTCTATTCGACGAAGCAGATGGTTTCTTTAGAAGAGGCGGAAATGGAATTTTGGAGACTGATGACCTCAGAAGACACTGACATTGTCGTTGAATATGGCGCAGATCTAAGCGCAAGCGAGTTCGGTTCTGGCTTTCCTTCGCAACACAATAGTGTTCATTGCGCATCAGACAAGTATTTTCACTCTCCATGGAATTTGAATAACATACCTCTCGGAAAGCACTCAGCTCTTCAGTTCTTGACGAAGGATATATCAGGCATGATCGTGAGTTTTGCTCTTTAGTCTAATCTTTCCACGAAACATTTTTGTTCCCATAATTACACTTCCACGAGCGTTATCTTTATGCCTAACGAATATAGCTTGTGTGGTCAGACACCTAAGGCAGTAGCACTGTTTCTGGGGGGATGATCTTTTTTCGGGAACAGCATTTATTGTCACTATTGTCACATCTGAGACCCTTTCGATCGATATCTGCTGCCTATCAGAAACCCGCCTGCAAGACCCGAACTCTGTTCACTCTGCGATCCCCTTCAGGGCACACTAGCAGTGCTTACTCATTGCGCCTATCCGGAGGCGATGCAGCTTCGAGTACCGGCCAAGCCGGCGTTGGTATTGCCCTGTCCCCTGGCTGAAGCTGCTCTGGTTGATTGGATCCCAATCAGTAGCCATATTGGTGCTCTCCGATTGACTGGCTCTTTCAAAGCTCCGAAGTCGCACCGTGCTAATAGGGTTCTGTATGTGTCGCGGCCCTTCGCCCTCACAAACTGTAACCATGACTCGGTAAAAGTCCACTTTTCGTCAACTGAACAAGCTCCTTCGTCACAGCACGGACACTATAATGCCGACTTAGGATCTGAACTCTAAAGTCGGAAAATTGTCCACTGGTATCTGTGCGGTCAACATGGTGTAAGCTCCCGTAATGATAACGCTGAGTGTTTCCTTCATTTGTGTAAAGATGCTTTCTTATTTCTTGCGAGCACTAACTTCCGACACAGCACCCTTCGGGAAGTGACATGGCGCCTACCAGCTATGGACGCAAATCGATCACCTCGCGATCAGTTATCACTGGAGAGGTAGCGTCCAAAATAGTTGCTCGATTTGGAGCACGTGTGCGGACACTGACCATGCACTTGCATGTGCTGACTTGCGGGTGCGTTTTGGCCGACGCCCACGATGATGCTATGAGCACATAGACATCAGCCAACTGGCGGAGCCAGGTGTTCTGAATGCGTACGCTAAAGTTCGGGTTGAGCAAGCGCTCACTGAATACTGTTGAAAGCCACTGGTCGCATGTTCACCAGTACTTACTAGAGGCAGGCAAATCCTCATGTGGTAAGTCTAATAGCCAACATGGACATTGGTTCTCTTCGCGGTCTCTGGAACTTAGCGATGCTCGCCGGCATATTTCGGCTGGAAGCGAACACAGTGAAATTCGCAAAGAGCTCCGGACAAAATTCCGTGCTAGGCTGAAGAGAGACCACGAATCCTGGTTGTATCTTCGTGCCTCTGAGATGGAAACGGCCGCTGCCATTGGTAATCATCGTGAGTTATACCGTCTGATACGGGCAACAGGCAACAGAAGACCTGGTGTTAGCGAGACCATACGCGACGAGAGTGGGCAGATGATCCACAGCCTGTCAAAACGCTTGGAGCGTTGGGCTGAACACTTTGCTATGCAATTTAACCAACCTGAGTTATCGTTTTCTTCTTCGGGCATTGAGCGCCCTTCTCCTTGGGCCGTCTCCTTGGATCCGCCCTCACGCGCAGAAGTCGAATGTGAGATCAAGCTGTTGAAATTGCATAAGGCCGCAGGAGCAGATACGATTCCTCCAGCCCTCTTCAAATTCGGTGGACCTGCTCTAGTAGATGATCTACACGAGTTGCTAGTAAAACTTTGGGAGCAGGAGACAGTCCCGACAGACTGGAACCGCTCCGTCATTGTCCCAATTTTCAAGGGAGGCTCCCGTTTAGAATGTGGCAATCATAGAGGGATCAGTCTGATTTCGATTGCCTCTAAATTGCTTGCCTCTCTCATTCTCCACAGACTGAGTGGCACTCGTGAAAGCCAGATTCGTGAAGAGCAAGCCGGATTTCGTCGAGGTCGGGGCTGCATCGACCACAGCTTCACATTGCGTCAAGTGTTGGAGCATCGCCATGTTTATTGGCGACCCACCGTTGTCGTGTTTCTTGACATAAAAGGTGCCTTCGACTCAGTCGATCGATGTGCCCTTTGGGACTGTCTGTTGAGGAAAGGTGTGCCTGATAAATATGTAAATATTATCAAAGCGCTGTACGCACATAGTTCGGGCAGGGTGAGGGTTTATGGCAAACTCTCGCCACCCTTCAGTATCACCAGCGGTGTGAGACAAGGATGCCCGCTGTCACCTTTCCTCTTCAACTTCGCTATTGATGAAGTCATGGAAACAGCGTTCGCTGGACACGACCTAGAAGGTGTGGAGCTACTCCCTGGTGAGCGACTTCTTGACTTGGAGTATGCAGACGATATTGCCCTGATCTGTGACAGCTCCCAAACATGCCAAACCACTGAACCGATTAGCACTGGCTGTCAGTCGTTTTGGGCTATGCTTTTCTTCATCGAAATGCAAAGTACTTCTCCAAGATTGGCAGGGACCCAACCCTGCGCTAACGCTTGGTGGTGATCTGCTAGAAGTCGTTCAGGAATTTAAGTACCTGGGCAGCTATATTAGCACCCGTGGGATTGAAGATGAGGTTACGAACCGTATAGCAAAAGCTCGAGATGTTTTTGCCAATCTCCGACACCTGTGGCGCAGACGCGACATTACTCTCGCCCTCAAGGGCAGAGTTTACAACGCAGCCATCCGTTCAACTCTCCTATATGGCTGTGAAACCTGGCCCATCAGGTCGACAGACATGAAGAGACTCGTCACATTCGATCATCGCTGCCTTCGCAGCTTAGCTCATGTCTGGTGGGAACACCGCGTGAGCAATGAGCGTGTTCGGCGTCGCGTATTTGGTACAGGAAGAGCGAGCGAACCGCTCAGCACGATTATATCACGCACCAGGCTCCGATGGCTGGGCCACGTGTTGCGCATGCCAGCACACCGACTCCCGCGACGTGCTTTGTTTGCGCGTTGTGGGTGCGGTTGGAAGAGGAGGAGGGGAGGCCAAGTGATGACTTGGTCGCGAGAAATGAAAACCCTCACTTCGAAGTTTGCGTCGGTTGGTGCATCCCGACTGCCTGGTTGGGGTCCTAAGGACGGTGAACACGTTTGGTTGGACACACTTGCTGATATGGCTAGGAGCCGGCCCCAATGGCGTTTGTGTTGTGAGTTCCTTTGTCCATCCCCCTCCTGTTTAGCATCCCCCTCCAATCACGATCTCAATCGTTTGGCATAATATGACTTTCTTTTACGGCAGCCAGCTGTTAGCTCTCCGGAACGATGTCCATCCGTTACTGGGGACTCAGCGGGCGGGCCACTGTTTGTTGTTGTTGTTTTTTTTTCTTTTTTTCTTGCCTTTTGTATTGCGGCACAATAGCTGAGGTGTTTTCCACCTCCAGCTAACGTGTAATGATGATGATGATGCGTCTAAGCGCCCGAAATAGGCGTACTCCGATTGCGTACAGTCTGTTCGTGTTGTAGACGGATTTCAGATCACATCGTGAGAGTACACCTAGATCCTTTACGGAGCTTGTTGGATGCAGCAGTTGGCCGGCTAGGGTGTACCTACTCCCATTACCATATTTCCCCAGACTCAGAACTGACGACCTGACCGGGTTGACCGGCATATCAACTGCAGGCCACAGAGACAGGTGCTCGAGGTCCTGCTGAAGGACGTCACATTCGTCGGGATAATCAGCAACCCTCCAAATCTACATGTCGTCTGCAAACAATACACATGGCGTCCGAAGAAGCCGAGGTACTTCGTTGATGTGGAGCACGAACAAAATGCACCCCAGTACTGTGCCTTGGTGTACGCCACTAGTGGAGCGGTATCATTCCGTTAGGCTATCCACGTGAACCCGCTATTATCTCCCAATGTGGAAGTCACTAATCTACTGGTGCAGTGCGCCACCAACATCACCCATTTTCAGCTTGTGGAGGATGACCTCATGCTTCACTTTTTCGAACGCTTTACTGAAATCAACGTATATAACATCTACCGATTTCCCCCGGTTCAAGATCTGCAACTATCCGTGCCACGTCAACAGCAGGTTGGTGATGCAAGAGTGGCCCTTCATGAAACCGTGCTGTACTGTCGTCTTTCGGCTCTAACAGCCGGAGAACACCCTTCTTCCTATTCTTCTCGTGCATTTTCGCCAAAATAGAAATGCGACAAATCGGCTGACAATTGTCCACCTTAGTGGCGTCGCCGCCCTTCGGGATCGGCTTCCCTACCAAGCATTTCCATTTGCTCGGCAACACACCTTCAGACTACGATCTGTTGGACAGATCAGTCACAGAAGGCGAGATGATGGCTGATAGGGGCTTAAGAATTAGCGGATGGCGGCCGTCAGGTCCGGCCGGCTTCGTGTCTTCAAAACTGGCGAGTAGACTGCGAACATCTTCCACATCGCAGTCCAGGCACTCGAATTCCCTAGGAACTTCATACCTCGAGTTAGGCATACGCGCATGCCTACCTATAAATGCGGAAGCGAAGTGCACCGCTAATGCGGACGCACGTTCAACGCTGGAAGTCATAACCTGTCCACTCGAGTCCTTTAACAATGCTAGGTCACCTGTGAGCCTCACGCGTCGCTTAACGTAAGCAAATATGTTCTTGGGGACAGTCTTCGCTGAGGTTGCTAGCTCCTCATCGAACTGTCTTTCGATGTTGCATAGACTCCGCTTCCTCTTGCAAGCCTCGTAATCATCAATCGAGCCAGACTCGAGGAATTTATTCCACAATACGCGCCTTCCTCGAGCCAGTTGGCCATGCTCTTTGTCGAACCACTGTATCTTTACTAGTCCAGCTTTCCTATATTTGAGGAGTACACAACGAGCGCACAACGATGCACACCCTCTTTATAACAGACCAACAGGTTTCAACAGATGAATCCTTCGGTAGCAACCCGTCCACTTCACTCGCGGCTTGATTGAGACCATCGAAGTCCGTCTTCCAGTAATCGTAGGATGGCTCTAGGGGACGCGAGTACGACATCGGCAACTCTAGGCTGCCTGGTCACTAGCCGCCAGAGGCTTCAGGACCTGAATATCATATACACGTTGCTCGCAACTAGTTACTAGCAGATCCAAGCACGATGGAGCGGAATGGGGTGTACC